CTCCACGTGGTTCAAACTTTGTTGACCAAAAGCAACCTAGTTCCTGGCCTCTACAGCCGTATTACACCGGCAGTTGGATACTCTAGAAGTAGCATAAATACCAATTAATGATTCAGTTATATATATACTGTACACGTGTACATGATACACGTCTCAAAAACTGGCCTTCCGTGTCCCTTGACAACCCGGAAAATCCAGCTTTACACCATGACCCCCACCATACTCCATCAGAGAAAAGAACCACAAACAAGCGGAAGGCGCCAGTCGGCTATTGATAGACCAAGAAGGCACAAAGGGATTACCCCAACCCAACCCCAACCCCAACCCCAACCCCAACCCTTCAGTCGATAACTAGCTTCGTCCTTCGGTGGTACCTGTTACATCATGTATTGTACCAGGTAGTGGTTGTAGAGAATGAAAAATAATTTCTACACAATGGTGAGCCTGCTTTTTCTGCCGTCTGCCACTTTCTGACTCTTTCCAATGGCCACCTCCAACGCCGGATGCCTTTGGATGGACAAAAATCTGTGGAACTTCATCATCATTAGAAGAAGTAATGAAACTATCGATAGAACGAGCTTTCGGCACTGTCTCTGCAAAATCAATGACAACAAAGAGCTTGAGATCATTACATCAGAAGATAGTTTTATTTTTGCAAGGCTACAACAGTGACCTGCAAGACCAGCTAGCAAAACCAGTCCTTCGTACAGGTTTTATCGTTGTACTTGCTCACTGTACAGCTGATTTTGAGTCTTTGCCAAATGCAGTTGGTTTGGCCAAACTGTTGTCTGCCAAATGGCATATTCCCAATTCGCTCTTTGAAGTCTCTTCCGGATGACTTAACCGGTTTGAATCGCCTAGGCCTTGTGGATGCGCAGAGGAAAGACAGGATTGGACCAGCGGCAAAATTACTAGACCATGCGAATCGTATCGCTTCTGTGGATCATCATCTGGAATCGGATTCCGATATTGAGTGCACAGACTACGTCCTTTACAGGCTGGATCTGTTTCGACCTTGACTGTCGAGCGACTCAGGAAAGCGAACTTACAGAGTGGGCTGGTGGAGGCAGGAGCAACTTTGCTAGCTTTGGGGATTCTTGCCGATACTGGAAGCATTTGTTGACTCCACAACACCAAGAGATGCTGCAGCATTGTCGTGGGTGTTAGAACAAGGAGCTAGTCAAGTCCCTATCGCTGAACATGCCCAATCAACATTGAGTACAGAAGAACAGAGAGTATTTGTTGGAATCTCCCTAGAAGTAAAAATCTATCGGTCTTGCAATTGTGAGCTAGATTATTCCTTACTCTATTTTCTAGTCTTGCTTCTCAGTCATGCACAGCATCTGGTATCTTGCCATGACTACATTCAACTCACTTCTCCTTATGTATTGATCTTGCTTTGATCTTGTCAATACTTCTCACATTATTGTCAGGCACTGTTCAATCTTACACAAGATGACCCATTGTCTAATGCCTCGTTTCGTGTTTCTGCTCCGCATTCTCCAATCTCCAAATATCTCAAAATACATCTTCAACACCCTTCCTATTTTGTAGTTCCTTCGTCGATATTTGTCATCATCTTTGGGATGTGTTTCTCATGTAGGTTTCCAGTTACATTCTTTGTCATGATGTCGGATTCATTATCAGTTCCTTTCACAAATAGAATCTTCAAAATACCATCCGGTCCAGTGTATTGTGTTACGAATTTTGTGCGAATGTCCACGTGTCGTGTTCTCTGGTTCGTTGTGACATTTGTCGCCATGAAAATTGCCGCGGTATTATCAACTCGAATAACAATCGGATATTCGACTTTCACTCCCATGGTTTCTAGGATCTGTGCAATAAATAATACTTCTTTTGCCACTTCACTCAAGGCAATCCACTCTGCTTCTGCGCTGCTCAAAGTCACTGTTCGTTGCGCTTTGCTTCTCCAACAGATTGGAACTCCACATAGATAAACAATAAAACCACTCACTGATTTTCTCGAATCTGGGTCTCCTGCATAATCACTGTCAGAAAACGCAACAACGTTCCATAGTAAACCTTTAGATCCAATCACTGGTTCAATTTTCAATCCAAGTCCTTTCGTATCCAATACATGCTTGATGATCCTCTTCATCTCTTTCATTGCTCTTGGTGTTGTCGAATCAAGTACCTTTGATAGTTCTCTCACTGCATTTGCGATATCAGGTCTTGTATGCTTCACAAGATAGAGCAACTTTCCGGTTCCACTTCGAAATTGCTTCTGTTCTTCAGGTGTCACGGTTACACCTTCTTCACTGCAAACGAGACCTTGTCCTGGCGTTCCAGGTGTCTTGTATTTAGGCATATTACGTACCATTTCTCCAAAATCCTCTTCCAATGTCTTCAACAAGTGTGGTTGACGTAATACTGCTTTCGTGCGATCTTCGTTGAAGCTGACGTCGCAGCTCAAATAATCTTTCAGGGTCTTTTCGGTTTTCAGAGTCAGTCCTTTCTCCTTCAGTTTTGCCTCAACTAGCTCCAATGCTTCAGGTTTTCCAATGCAAAGACAGTCGTCAACATATAAGCCAATGAAAACAATCCCATGTTCACTGTTCCAATGCATCAAACAAGGATCTGCATCTCCACCTTCGAATCCAATATCTTTCAAGATCGACACGAACTTTTTCCACCATTGTCGCGCTCCTTGCACGGTCCCATATGCGGTTTTCATTAATTCAATACAATCTTCACTCATATCAATTGACGAATCCACAAGATCATATCCAACAGGCAGATTCATGAATATCTGTTCTCCTTCATCAAATTCTCCATGTAGAAAGGCTGTTTCCACGTCGATCAACCAAGCGTCAAGTTTCCAAATCATCATCGCAACCAGTAGTATTCTCCATGTGATGTCATTGATAACTGGAGCAAAGTGTTCTGTGAAGTCAACTCCAGGAATTTGTGAGTATCCGCATGCAACAAGTCTTGATCGGAACACTCCATTTCTCTTGATCTTGAATACCCATTTGCATTTGATGCATCTTCTTCCATATGGTAGATCTCTTCGTTTCATTTTTCGCCAAACTCCACGGCGTATCATGTCACAAAATTCCTTTCTAATCGCTTCTCGCCATTTGTCCCGTTGATATTTGTCTGGATGGTTCCATGCTTCTTGGAAGTTCTTTGGTTCTTTGTAGTTGGTGTCTTCCGCTTCTTTGTTTTCCACAATATTTTCCATCATTTCTTCTGTCACTTGTAGCGCTAGATCTGGCCACTGTAAATCCGGATTCATCATCATGTTTGCAACATCGTTTTCGTTGAATAGTGGTCCACTTTGATCCCCTGTGAAATCGATTTCTTCTTCTTCTTCCGTTGGCACTTCTGTTGTTCGAACACGAGTTGCTGTCTCACGAGTTGCTGTCTCCCTTCCTGATTCGGAATTTGCAGTTGCCAATCTCGTTTGGGTCCGAGTACGAAGTATTGGTTGGGTCCCATGTCGGTCCGTGTCCCATGTTCGTAAATCTTGCTGCCATCTGGGAATTGGTGCTGCAGTCGCCGGTTGTTGCGTTGGCCCAAATCGTGTGACTCGTTGTGGATTTGCTCCCGAGTCCAATTGTACTGCTGGTATTGTTGCCGTCTCTGCTGGTGCTGTAGCTGTTGGAATCGGTCCCGGTTCTGGTGCTGTTGTGTTTGCGTCATTGGTGTGAGTTGTTGGTGCTTGTGTAATATCATTGTCATGGACCGTTTCCAATAGAATTTCCTGTGTCAATTGTAGTGTGTTGGTTTTCTTGATTCCCTTCCAATCTCCGTAGCTCTTGTTCAACCA